TCTTTCTTCCAACAGTACCAACACCATCAAGCCTCCCTTCATGATGAGATCGTGGTAATCCAATTGAAGATGTTTCTGACATGTAGTCCACACAAAAATCGATGACCTCTTCGGTGGTGTAACTCTCGATGATACTCCCCTCGGGGTGTGAACGGTTCCGTACATAACCCTTAAGGATCCCCAGGTACCTTTCGCAAGGATACATCTGCGTCATGAATGCTAGACCACAGCACTTTGTTTGCCTCACAAGGTGCACGGGAAGATGTTCCATTATGTCAAAGAAAGTTGGAGAAAAGTACATCTCAAGATGACATAGAGTTCTCACAAGTTCTGCTTGTAGTTCATCTAGTCCCTCGGGATCAATGATCTTCTGGCCGATTGCATGGAAAAAGGAATACAACCGCTGGATCGTGTGTCGCACCTTAGGAGGCAAAATATTCCTTAGTGCAACGGGCAACAGCTATGTGATAAGAACGTGGCAATCATGCGATTTCATTCCTACCAACTTAAGATCTTGCAGTGAAACGAGCCTACTGATTCTTGATGAGTAACCAGATGGAACCTTTATACCACTCAAACATGTTAGCAAATTAATCTTCTCTTCTTTCGAGAGAGTGTAGCGGGCTGGAGGAAGGTAAACCCTGCCGGATTCCGTGGTTATGGGATGTAGTTCCGAGCGAACACCCATTTCTTCCAGATCTCGTCGGGCGTTGAGACCATCCTTTGTAGTACCTGGGTTAAGCAGTAATCCCATTAAACTCTCGCATACATTCTTCTCGACATGCATCAAATCTATGCAGTGGCGAACTTCAAGATCCTTCCAGTATGGTAGTCTCCAAAATATTGACTTCTTTTTTCACATGCTCCTCTCTTTTGTCTTTTGTTTTTCCACATGCTCCTCTGTTTTTTCCTTCGACGTGCTCTTCTCTTTTGTCTTTCCAACTTTCCTCTTTTTTCCAAACTTGTTTGTTATTCCCATCACTAAGTTGTGCACCTCAGTCCCTGTTAGCTCTGCCGGGGGTCCGACTGTATCTCTGTGTCCCTTGAAATTCTTTTTCATATTCCTATATGGGTGATACCTTGGGAGAAATCTCCTGCGACCCATGTAAACCGTCTTGTGTGAATGCTTCAACCATTTGCTTCTTGTTTCCTCCATACACTCTGAACACGCCCATTTCCCTTTCACAGTTTGGCCAGAAAGGTTGCCAAGGGCCAGATAATCGTTGATGGTACAAAACAGCATCGCATGGAGGTTGAAATACTCTTGTGCATATGCGTCCCAAGTCCGTGTGCCATCATTCCATAGCCTTTCGAAGTCATCGATTATCGGTTCAAGGAACACATCGATATCGTTGCCAGGTTGTCTCAGTCCTTGAATGAGCATGGCAAGCATAATATACTTTCTTTTGAAGCACAACCAGGGAGGAAGGTTATAGTTAACAAGTAGAACTGGCCATGTACTGTGACGACTGCTCAAATCACCAAATGGATTAATGTCGTCCGTACACATTGTGAAACGCATGTTTCTTGGTTCATTTGAGAATTCCTGGTAAATCTTATCGATTGTCCTCCACTGTACTAAATCTGCTAGGTGCCTCAACATACTATCGACTTTCCGTTCTTCGGCATGCCAGCGCACTAGCTTAGCTTGTTCCTTATTCGCAAACATTCTCTTCATGCGCTCCGCAATTGGGAGATACCACACCACCTTTGCTGGGCCTCCCCTCTTTGACTTACTTCCTTCACCTTCACTCTTTTCTCGTTTGTATCTTGATGCCCCACAAACAGGGCAGACATCCAAGCAGCGTATTCCTTGTAATACAAAATGCAGTCGTTCGGACATGCATGAATTCTTCTGACCTCCAGGCCCAACGGACATAATACTTGCTTCGCTTCATATGTCGTATGCGGTAAATTGTTCCCCTCTGGCAACAGGTCCCTTAATAGCTCAAGAAGTTCTGTAAAACTCTTGTCCGACCAGCCATTACTAGCCTTAAGCTTCATGAGTTCCAACACGCATGATAACTTGCTGTGCTTCGACTTGCATCCATCATACAAGGGCATCTGACAATCTTCCACCAACTTACTAAACTTCTCAAAATCTCTGTTGTTGTCCTTTGCATCTTCAATGTCATGCAACATTGTAGATAGACATTGAGTGTCCAAATCTATGGTCTCTCCACCTAAAGGAGAAGGTACGAACATGCCTTCTCGAGCTACGGCGCCGGCGGTGTTCTCTACATCCTGATCCAACACTTCTTCCGCTGTGACATCAGGCGCCTCTTGCTCTCCATGCTTGGTCCAACAGATATATTTCTTCATGAATCCATTCATTATCAAATGAGCATGCACTTCATCGCTATCTTCGATCATCTGTTCATTCTTACAGTCCCTACATGGACACAACATGTGCATGCTCATCCTACTTTTTCTGTCATTATCCGCAAATATGACAAATTCAGTGACCCCCTCTCTATACTCGGTAGACGAACGATGCGCATAGTACATCCATCTACGATCCATCTGAAATCAACAACATACAAAGAAAAATATATGATGATCGATATATTGAGAATTAATGGAGAATAATGTGTTTTTTACCTTGAATTTTAGCAAAAAATCGCCCCCTTGCCCTCCCAACCGATTTGTGAACAGTGAACTAGTCGGGATGGAAAGCAGTTGGCAGTTTGGAGGGTATTTATAGACCCAACACACCTCAAACGGGTTAGATTAAAAAAGCCCGTCAAAGGTGTTGGTCATACCTTTGACGGGCTTCAATTGAGTTGCCCGTCAAAGGTATTAACCTACCTGTGACAGGCCGTAAAAAAAATCCGTCACAGGTGGCGGACCACCACCTGTGACGGCTCATAGTGCCACGGCCTGTCACAGGTGAGGGGATACCAGTGACGGGTTTGGAGGAAAACCCGTCACTTCCTCACCTGTGACGGCTTTTCCTTCCGGCCCGTCACAGGTGAGGGGATACCTGTGACGGGCCACGGCCGGATGCCCCACCGATGACGGCAAACCTAACGACCCGTCAAAGGTGACGGTCATCTGTGACCAATTCATAGGCCCGTCACTGGTATGCCGTCATAGATGTAGGGTTCTGGCGTAGTGGTGGACACCATCTCCGATTGCACCGCGCTGCATAGAGCGTCGAGCGCCATCATCTCGTCTTGTGGATCAGCGCCAGCCTTCTTGATGGCGTGCCAGAGTGCCCTCGCCTTCAACTTCACCTTCATCAGGAGCGCCCAGTTGGAGTAACTAGTCGCCAACCCGTGCAATGCACGGCTATCATTGGTAGAATTATTAAATATTAAAATTTTAAATATATTGTTTTGAAAATTATTTGTAGATTTTTTATAGCTCTAAAGGAAAAAACAATATATTTTGTATTGACGGTTCAAAAAACCAAAATTAAAAAGTATAAACATAAGATCCATCCCAAGTAGCATTTTGTACTTATTTAGGAAACTCAGCTATTAATTCCAAATTATATTATTTCATAATTTTATATTTGTAAATTTTATATTTAAAATATTGAGTTTTATTTGGTCTGAAAGTCTCAGTATAGCCTTTTTCAAGATTTAATAATTCTGTGATTTATAACTAATAGATGTTGATCAAGATGTATACATTCGGGATATCACTAATAGCATTTCCATCGTTTTAATAATTATAAAAATCGGAATCATTCACTACTCATTTTCTTCTAATGATGGTGGAATCTCAATTTAGTTTTTTTTTTAAATTTCATTTATTGATTTGGAATTGATTTAGTTTTAATCTCATTTTTTATTGATTTAAAAAATATTGGAGTCTCACTTGTAGATTCGGTCCTGGTATAATTAATAGTTCCAATTTGACAGTCTGAATTATAACTTTTTTCTGATTTAATATTTTTGAAATTCGTTATTAATAGGTCATGAGTACAGTTTTCATGATATAGTTCTAAAAATTGGAATTAGTCACGACATTAACTGCATGAACGTCAACAATAAGGCTTCATACAGTTTTTGAAACATGATAAGACATACATGGAAAACTAATTATTAGTTGCCACTGAAAAAATAGAGATTAACGTGAGTTCTCTGTTTTAAAATTATTATAGTATAGATCAAATTCTTTTGTGAACTATGGGAGTTTTGCTATCTATCAACCTAATTACCTAAACACTTATTGATAAACATAATTATATATTCGGGGACCTGATTACCTAACACTTATTGTAACATGATCATTAATTATTCTATGAAAATTAGAAATCAAGAATACTTCAAATAGGTTGCATACAATATGTAAGTAACCTACTTGGATTCCTTGAAGCGATGACGGTGTATAAATCTTCTGTGCATGCAAGAAAGAGTGAACTTTCAGTTAGAGGATCAACATCGCAACACCTGAAATATTGTCATATTAGTTGCTAGTTTTTATTCGGAAAAACATAGTAGATCAATATATATATGTTTGCTTCCAAATTAATTTCCTTTTATCGGAAAAAGTAATAAGAAATATTCATCATCCCGAATCACACGTGGATTTTATTTTCATCTACGGTCATGATAATTCAACAAATTAATTAACGGCTAGATATTTCTAATTAACGTGAGACCTCCTAGAAAGTGCCCAATTAGTATAGGGATTTTATTTTCATCTACGGTCATGATAATTCAACAAATTAATTAACGGCTAGATATTTCTAATTAACGTGAGAACTCCTAGAAAGTGCCCAATTAGTATAGGTATAGATTGGTCTTGGTGAGGACGGGGTAGCTACTCCCGCGCGCGCCGCCCACCTCACGAATCACCCGCTGGATCATAACGCCTTCTTTGGAGGTGCCGTCGATCGGCTTCTTGTCATCACCCATCAGTGCAACACCCTGATTCGAAACCGGATGCTCTGATACCACTTGTTAGAATCGCGCCAGAGAGACAACGTAAACTACGTCGTCGGCGAGATCATGGCCAACACACACACTGAACTCACGCGATCAGAGGAATTTTGGTGCTGCAAAACTTGGCAGCTTTTCCAGACTCTATTTTATCGCTTAAGTAAGCTATTACAGGGAAATAAATCCTAATAAAAGGAAAGTAAACGTAGCCTCCAATCAGACCGACACATCCACCCACAAAATCAGCAACTAACCATTTATAGCTACTACTAATCAGCACACAAGGATTATTCCTAACAGACGTGTCTTCGACCGCAAAGAGTGAGCGAAATCTTGCTGCCCTCACCGGCCGGCTGCCAGAGTGCCTCGCGTCTCCACAAGGTCAGTCCCCACTCACCACTCTGCTAAGGCGCGCGTCAGGTGACTTTAGGAGGGAAAACCAAACTTCTTCGGGATGGATGAAACACTTCAAGCTGTCTTCTGATTAAATTAAGCACGATGACGCAACCCGATTTTCTCAAAAAGACGATGACGGCCGTACAAAGCTAGGATAAGGATCGCCACCATGGATCACTGCAGGCAAAAGTTGAGAAAAAAATAAAGTGCAACGTGCACTAATTAGATATTTGTTTGTAACACTCATCGCCACCATGCATTCAAGTTGTGAAGCTACATCAAATCAACAGAAACGTACCTGAAAGTAAATCCATTCAGGTAGGCCACTACTTCTGACCGAAATATTGTTTCCATTGTCAATAATGTCCTCATTACCGGTAGGCTCAGGTTTCTTATCAGTCACACTTACCGCACTGCTACCAGCTGTACCAGTGCTACCAGCCACAATGTCATGGACGATCTCTTTCGTGTTGATGCAAAGGGTGATACGGTTGCGGTGCTCCTTGGCTTCTTTCCTCACCTGATTGATAATCTCACGGATGCCCGGAGCATCCGTTGTGTACCCGGAGGCACACCTGAAATCGACACTTCGGAGACTCGAGAGGTGCACGATGCCCATAGGCTCTTGTTTGGTTGCCCGGAAAGCATAGAACTTGAACTGAAGATGTTTCAACACCGGCATGGCTTCACTCTGGAAGCTCAGTCGTGGCACACGGCAATCAACACAGAAGCTCTCCAGCCTTGAGAACCCTGCGCCAGTGATGGCTGTTCTGGGGAGAACTTCGACCCGTAGTGCAAGAACCTGAAGCTTGGGCATCTCCTGAAGAATCTTGAGGTCATCCTCCCTCAGTTTCCAGAGATTGATTTCTAAGGATGAAATGTCGCTGAGAGTTTCTTTATTGAGCCAATCCGGGAGACTGATATGTTTGCCGGGAATCTTAAATCTCGCCACAGGTATAGGTTCCCAGCTGGAGCCGAAACGATCAAAGAGGGTAATGGATATGTTCTCCCGCGAACAAATATGACCATAATTGTCCACTGCGCCCTCAAGCAAGTTCACCACTTTAGGGGAATCCTTGTTGCCGGCAACCACACTGATGGAGTTGGAACGCTGGCCAGCTTCCCAAGGTAGCTCTCTAACATTGGTGTTGCTAATATTCAGAGTCTTGAGCTGCTGCAGGTTCCAAATTTCCATGGGTAGCTTCGCAACCTTTGTGTTACTGACATCAAGTGTCTCCAGATGCTGCAGCTGTCCGATTTCCTCAGCTAGCTCTGTTTCCGTGACATCTATGCCACTTACGTGCAGTGTCTTCAACAGCTGCAGGGCTCTGATTTCCCTGGGTAACTTTGCAACCATGGTGTTGCTCACGTCAAGCGTCTCCAGGTTTTCTAGTTCTCTTATTTCCGCGGGGAGTTCACGCACGTTTGTGTCGCTTACGTCCAGAGTCTTGAGCATGTGCAGCTTCCCGATTTCCTTTGGTACTTGTGTCACCGCCGTGTTACTTACATTCAGAGTCTTGAGTCGCTGCAGCTCCCCGATCTCCCTTGGTAGCTCCCTGACACCTGTACCTCTCACGTCCAGAGTCTCCAGAAGCTTCAGTTGTCCAATTTGTGGAGGCAGCATGGTGATTTTGCAGCCCTTTAGTTTCACGTACCTCAGCAAAAGCAGTTCACATATATCCACCAGATCATCGTCGCCCAAATCCGGGAAATTGTATAGATCTGCTGCACCCTCCAAGCTCGTGTCCTCCTCGTCTAGATGCAGCACTCGCAGGTGGCTCAAACGATCGAATGGTATTAAACTTGCTCGTCCAAAAACCACGAGCGTGCGCATGCATGAGAAATCCAATCTTGAAACAACCCATGAACCCAGGCCTCCCTGGACAGATATCCTACTGTGTCGTCGACCACACAGGGACTCTATGTTGGAGAAATACCCCGCGGAAGCAACAAAGCCATGTTCTTCTGCCTGGAATCTGAGGAAGGCTAGTACCACGGCGCTGATTTCATATTCGGCAACCCGGCTATGGCGTCTGCCTTCAGCCGGGGAAATCGAAATATACCCCCATTTGACAAGCTCCTCAAAGTAACCAGGAGCTTGTTCCTCGTCAGCAAACCCTTCGTCCATCCAAATCCTGATCAGATCATCCCTTTCGAATCTTTGGTTTGGGGTATATATGCTGCATTCCAGCAAGCAAGTCTTGAGATGCGGGGGAAGGCAGTGGTAGCCAAGGACTAGACTCTCAACCAACGGTTTCATGCAGGGAATTTCTGCAAATCCTTTTAATGCTTGGCACAAGGCCACATCAAACCGATTTGTTGCAGATGGCGGTGATAGCAGCTGTGCCACTGCGGCCGATATGCAGATTATTGCTAACGGCATACGACCAGACAGTTTAGCTATAGAAGAACAGCTCTTCTTGTCTGATGGAGCAGTGTGGACATTGAATATCTTTTCCGATAAAGCTACTGCAGCATCCATAGAAAGCGCCGTTACTTCACAAACAACAGCATGGTCGTCCTTGCAACATTTTTCAACTACTGAATTAACACGAGTTGTCATGATAATTCTACTGCCCCGGTCATTCTTTACAAGAGACTTCCTTATGACTTCCCATTGTTGGCAATGCCAAATGTCATCCACAATGACAAGATACCTAAAAAGATCAAGAGAAAGAGGTGGTATTAATTATAGTTCCATGAGAACCTCCACATTAATCCTCATGAGACGTGATACTAAAAAGGATTACTCTGTTCTTATGCATGTTAATCAGGACTTTAGTTTGTTAATAATAGACATTTACTTTGTTATTATGTTTTACAAAAAAAATAATGACCTAGATCCTTACGAAAAAATAACCCTCTCGATTTCAATCTGAACTACCCACCTATGCCAATATAAAATGCAAATTAAAATGCACCCTAAATTTGTTTGTAGAATTACCCATCCCTGCCACTTTCGAATACAATTTAAAATACATCCTTATATTTGTATATAAATTACCAAACTCAACCATTACATTAACAAAGAGAATGCAAAGTACCATCTTAGTAAATAGCAATAAAAGCTATGAAAGCTAAAATATTTTAGTAAATAGCAATAAAATCTATTCTGAAAAATTTCAACAGCCGTAAAGTGTATTACATATATTCCTGAACTACACCGATAAATTGAAAGTAAGTACACCATGTAAACCAAGTACGTAAACATTTATACATTGTGCTAAATATTTATTTTAAAAAAAATTTCAAGCATATAAAAATGTTGCCTTCATAAATCATATGTCCATGACATTGACAATTCACTTTAAATTATTTGTGCACCAAGACAAAAAATTTATAACCTGTTATTTTAACTTGACAATTATATGATATAAATATTGATACTTTATGTTAACCACTTTATATCTTAATCAAACAATACTCCTACACATACAATTCATTTTGATATTGCAAATTCAACATCTTGAATACCACATTGTAGACTAAAATGACTGTGCCATTACAGTAACAAAGAAGATAGCCTAAGACCTAAGATCCCTTTGTGTCTCATTTTGATTCATTCCTGGTGAAATTCAGTGAAGCAGTTTGGTTGTTCTTTCTTTTTTCTTCAAAAATTGCAGTGGCAGGACCGCCCAGCATTTCTGATCTTTTCTTCGGGTTGTATTCTAGCTGCAGCTGACCCCTTTCAGTTTTCTTTTGCTGTGTGTTTATGTCTCTTCGCCTTCAGTTTGCTTTCCAATAACTGCAGTTATCTGTGATGTGCTTTTTATTCAGAAGCACAAAACTTGTTGCTCTGGTTTTCAGATCGACAAACAGTGAATTTTGTCTACTACCAGGACTGCAAGACAGAGGCAGAGGATTTCTCTTAAGCAGCTTAGATCAACAGACAATAGCAATTGTCGCATAAATCACAGGTTCTATCTATCTACAGTGGCTATTCTTTTAGGCAGGTTCAAAGTGACATTTAGTGCAGGTTCTGCATCTGGTTTCTTGTTTGTTCAATGTGATTTGAGACAGGTCTGTCTACAATGGTTATTCTCTTAAGCAATCACTGCTTGTTTTTAATTGTCCTCTACAAACTTCTTTCACCTCAAATAATATATATTTTTCCTAGCATCGGTAGTTCTTGAAGTTACCGCAGTTGCTGTCCTACAGTTAGTCCAAAGCAACTCTGTGGTCATTTGCTGGTACCGGTCTGAACTTGTGATATTCTTGGAACAGTGTTGTCTGTTCCTTTTATTTTCAGCAAGTCCTTACCACAATTTACTTTTGTCTTTGTTGTATTAGTATGCCTATCTAAATGCCTTTCGAGTCAGCTAGTTGTAGTGTCTCCTGTTCCTTTTTATTTGCAGCTTGATATTAATTCACATCAGCTAGCCCTTTTGTACTGTTTAAAGCTTGTGGTTAGCTTTTACAATGTGCTTGATTCTTGTTTCTAATCTTGCTCATTTTTGTTCCGTGAGGTTTTAGGAAAGAGATTTACTCTGGTCCAACAAAAAGTATCTCGAGGTACCGGTACGTTACTGTACCAAATCGTTTCCGATCGTTGAATCTTGCTAGGCAGGATGGACATTGTTAGATCTAACGATCAGAAATGATTTGGTACCGTGAGGTACCAGTATCTCGAGGTACTTTTTGTTGGACTGGAGCAAATCTCTTTAGGAAAGGTTATCACAAGTTGGCTTGTGTGACCTATTGATGATGAGAAGGGAGATGTGTCAGCTATATATGATCTCACCTGTCATACACACAGTGTTTTGGAGTTCGTGCTGCAGCTAGCTACAAATTTATGGCCCGCTGCTCATCCCTCTCTTCTTTTATCTTATCGATATGTGTTTATAGCTGGCTTATATAGTATATTATTGTACCTGCTCTAATAGTGCTAGTCTAGGGGACACCAGATCTGCCATGAGGATTGAGGGCCGATGGATCCGACAGTGTTTGCAGCGGTTGCAAATACACAAGTCGTATATCCACAGGATGAAGTTCCTGTTGTCTCCTTTATAACGGTAGTCAGGCATCCGGTGTCCCGCTCGAGCAATGAAGAGGAGAGCAGAGGAATTAAAGAAGGGGGACGGCTGGCGGCGGAAAAACACGGAGCCCCCAACGAAAGCAAGAAAGGGGTAGTCTCCTGTAGTCTGTTCCATACCATTAAAACAAATATGTTTATCTTTCTTCTTTTTTTTTTAAAACCAATATGTGTATCTTAAATATGCACAAGGACCATGAATGGCTAAAAAGATCTATTTGTGGCCGGTAATAGCATTGAGCACGTAGATGTAAGGATATGCATACCTTTGGTCAGCAAGGAATTGTGACAAGATATCGACGAGATATTGTTCATCATCCTCTACATCGGTCGTCCCAGCAACCGGTGCACAGTCGGTTACTTTTCTGTGAATATTTCTAGGAATGAGTACTGTAACTACATGTGACGCGAAAACATGAAAACCGTGCAGAGAATACATACAAACATGGAGCATAGCAGTGCGTATGTGATACTTTGTATTTTTAAATGTGATAAATAATGTGCGTACCTTTTTTCTCCTAGCAATTTCAATACGATGTTGACGAGATATTGTTTGTCGTCGTCAACACCGGCACCAGCAAGCTGTGCACTGGCATTTAGTTTCCTGCGAATTTTGGCCTGATTTAGTTCTTAACTTTTTCTTCAAACTTTCAACTTTTTCATTACATCAAAACTTTCCTATAGAGAGTGTGTTTAGTTCACGTCAAAATTGAAAGTTTGGTTGAAATTGAAACGATGTGGCGAAAAAGTTGGAAGTTTATGTGTTTAGGAAAGTTTTGATGTGATGGAAAAGTGGGGAACCTTAGTTTCAAACTTCCCACTTTTCCATCACATCAAAACTTTTCTACACACACAAACTTTCAACTTTTCCGTCACATCGTTCCAATTTCAATCAAACTTCCAATTTTAGCGTGAACTAAACACATCCTTTATGTTTTTTTGGGATTAGAGTAAGTTTATATATATGGCGCCACACTATGTGATATACATATATTTGCGTTGCATTGAGCATGTACTATGTAGATGTAAGAAATATGCACACCTTTTGTTGGTGACGAATCTCGTTGATATCCTGTCGATGAGAGCTTTCTTTGTGTTGTCTGCACCAGTCGCAGCATGAGGTGCGCTTTCAGTCTTTGCGTCGCCTATACCACCAGTGCCAGCAAGAGCGACAGATGAGCCGTCAGTTTTTGTGTCAGCTATACCGGTGCTAGCGAGAGTTGCAGTGTCGGTGGTAGGAAGAGCTGAACCGTCAGTTTTGGCGCCGTCTGCTATACCGGTGCCCGCAACTGGTGCGCTGCTGTCTGTTACTTGTCTGAGATTTTTTTTTTTTAAGGGACGACAACATTGTTACGAAAAGGAATTATAACCAGATCCAGCACACATAATAGATCGATCGATGTGACGATGATTATATGCATACCTCCTGTACGTTAGGAGCTCCAGTATGCTGTCGATGAGACATTGTTCGTCGGCTTCACCGGTGCCTTGAGTTGTTGGTGCAGTATTATTATTCACTGTTAATTCTCTGCCAACAAAATATACTACTCCATAAGATTACGGATACACATACTGTATAGGAGTAGATCGAATCGAAGTGATAGAATATCAACTCCTACCTCTGTTTGTCGCTGATTGCTTTGATGATAGCAGACGCAATGACTTCACTGGTAATGCTAGTCAGAACGTGCATCATGCTTTGGCTCGGACAGACCGACACGAAGGTGCGGCAGTCGAATTGCTCGCTCACTGCTTGGTACGCGAGGCCAGCAAGAGTGGTCTTGCCCATCCCAGCAGAGCCATGTATGCACACTCTCTCTTTGTGCTTGAGCAACTTGATGAGCTCCGCTTTCTTCTCGTCCACCTCCACGAGCTCCGACGCATTCTTGCGGGGCAGGGAAGGAGACGAGGACAAAGCCGCAGGGGCGTCTGCGTCGATGATGGCCTCTGTAATCCACTGCTTCTCGCAGCAACGGTTTACCAGCTCCTGCACCTGATTTCTCATTCCCTCGAAAGGGCTCGTCGCAGCAGCAGCCTCCACAGCAAGCATGAACCTGAAGCCGTCGATGGCGTCCTCCATGTCGTAGGACAGCATCCTCGCCTCCGCCATCCACTCCTTGCACGCCGCGTCAAGACGATCCTCCTTATCCCATATCCTCAGGAGGAGGGAGCGCAGCGGCTCGAGTTCAGATTTGATGAACTCAATGTCTCCGCGGCTTCCCTCCAGAGCAGCCATGTGCTCATTGCGAAGCAAATCGCCGAGCTTCTCGATGACAGGACCCAAAGCACCCGTGGCTGCTGCTGTCATGGCCACGGCTTCCCCGGCGCCGGCGGCCTCCATGACTCTCACACACAAACACCTCAAGTCAGAGTCTAGCTAGACTATGGTAGGTGTGATGTAGGCGGTGGCCGCTGAAAATAAAACTAATCTGGAGTAACGTCGAACGGTGCGACGGTTTCGTGTTAATTGTGGTACACTAATCGGTACCCAAAAAATACATACATACATACATACATACATACATACATACATACATACATACATACATACATACATACATACATATATATATATATATATATATATATATATATATATATATATATATATATATATATATATATGCTGTATAGGATAACCCGGATCCTATTTAGTACATGGATAACAGCTAACAGCTTATCTTCTAAACTACCGGGTCTACTTAACAAACACGCATAATCATAGATACATTAATTAATATATTCTAACACTCCCCCTCGATCTAAACTTCTAATGTTAAGATTGACTCTAACGTCTTCAAATTGTTTTACAGCCAATGGCCTAGTAAATCCATCTGCAACCTGATCCATGGAAGAAATATATTCTATCTCAAGTAATTTTCGAGATACTCGTTCTCAAACAAAATGATAGTCAACTTAAATATGTTTAGTACGAGTATGAAATACAGTATTAGCAGACAAATACTTAGCTCCAATATTATCGCACCAAATCCTCGCCGCCTTAGGTGCATCAACACCAAGTTCCAGCAACAAAGTTTGAATCCACATAATTTTTGCTGTCACATTCGCTAAAGGCTTGTATTCTGCTTCTGTACTATTTTGTACCCCTCCCCCTCCCACCCGCCCCGCGCAAGCGCGCACCCTCTCCTGCTCGCGTCCCCACGACCCGCCCTCTCGCGAGTCGCGATCCCTCCCTCAAAAAGAGAAAATCGCCGGCCTCATCTCCCAAAAACCGGCGGTCAGCCCTCCTCCAACCCCTTCGCGCCGATCTCTTCCTCTAAGGAAAACCGAAAGGCTTCTCTCTCCCAAAAAACCGCCGGCCTCCTCTCCCAAAAAAAAAACTGGCAGCTGGCCCTCCCCCTCCCAAGAAAACCGGACACCACCTCTCCTCTAGAAAAAGCGCCAAAAAATAATAATTCTCTCCTCCAGAAAAAGCGCCCAAAAATAAAATAGAAACAAAGAGAAGTTCTGGTTCAACTCAGGACCTTGTATTCCATAGTATGCAACTCTAACCACTTGATCCAGTAGAGATTTCTGTTTAAAAGTTAACGCTTATTTTTTTAAGCTTCATTAAAATGAACTAATAAACCATGCTACTGATATCACCTATCGTTTATATTATTCAAGCCAAAAATATGATATATTAATTCTAGAACCGTGATAGTAACATCACTATAGAACTGTAGTAACACGCTCGGTTACTGGAAAACACATAGGCCGTTACTACTCTCTAGCACTAGTGTTACTACACAATTTTAACTAGGTGAGCGTTGTGTCCGCATAGGGGATTGACCAAGAATAACCTATGGTAGATTTATTCTAGCACTGTCGAAGATGCAAATCAATTCTGTTACATTTTTGTAGTAAAGTCATCACGGAATTATAGTAACATGCTTGGTTACTGCAAAACACACAGGTTGTTACGTCGTGTAAGAACTATTGTTACTACATAATTTTCACAAGATTAATGTTACATCTGCTTAACGATTCCATAGAGATTTACTTGATAGTTTACCTCTCTCCCCTCACCCTCCCGACGCGCCCTCTATTCGAATTTTTGTTTACTGTGAAAGTATATGTTACTGCAAAACATATAGGACGTTACTGTACTTTTGATAATAATATCATGGTGAAATTATAGTAAACTAGGAATTGAAACAAAAATGTATGTGTTAAAAGTATACATGCTAACCATATATTTGTTACTGCACAAAAGTGTAAGTGTTACTGCATGGTAGGTACACGTTACCACAAAGTTTGTGTAGTAAAACTATTCAAGAATTGCAGTAAGACGCTTTGTTACTGCAAAACTTATAGTATTTACCACACTTTCACAGTAACATCATGATGGGATTGTAGTAACGTACACCAGGCAGTAGTAACACTTATGATATAGTATTATTACTTGTGGAGAGTTAAATTTCAAAAGACCAATCTTTGAAGGTTCGCTCTACCCTTGCCTCACGAGTAAAGTGAGCCAATTCCCCTCTCTCCGTGTTACTGCACTTTTTAGTGAGCCAAATCCCCTCTCTCTATGTTACTGCACTTTTTTTCTTACTATATATATCGTTGTAGTAACGATATCAAGTAATTGCAGTAATACACTATGTTATTGTGCAACTTATACTCGTTACTACAAGATATATTAAAGATATGATGTGATTGCAGTAACACATAGCAGACAGTACTGATAGTTATGTTATAGTATTACTGCTTGTGGAGAGTTAAATTTTAAAAAGACCAATCTATGAAGGGTAATATCTCTCACATCATGCACTACTTTTAAAAACCGTTTGCACTATGATGTTAGAAAAAAAATGTTTATCAAAAGTAGACCCATCATGACTATATTATGACGATATTTCAATATCGTTACTGTAAGTAAGACATGGTGTTACTGCACGATGAACATCACGTTACTACGCTGTTCTGTGACGAGAGTTGAGAAGAGTGGAGGTGGTGGGGAAAGCCACAGGCTAGTTTGACCGAGGTGGGTGACCTTTGACTGAGGTGGGAGGGTGGGTTTTGCCCCTTGGAGGGAGAGGAGGTGGGTTGGAGGGAGGCGGGGTATAGAATAACTATCTCCAACTTGACTCATTAGCAACAAACAATAGTATTACATACGTATACTATCCATCTAGAAGTCATAATCATGGAATAAACTCGGATATCCAAATAAACAACCCGAAACCGAAACCGACACAGTGTCGGCCGGTCAGACCGCGGGCTGCGCCGATCTGACCGCGCATTATACCCCGGTCTGACCGGCAGCACAAGCCCGGTCTGACCGGTCCACATAAAATCACAGCAGTACCTGTATATTCACATGTGAAATCCAATCATCTCCAAAACCACTTCGTGAATAAATTCCAAATAACAAAACCAATAATCTCCAATGCCAAATTGTTCATCATAGAATAATAATCAAAAACACCTTTGATTTTACATTATGTTCAATTTTTAGAATCACAATGACAATAAAGAGTAGGCGGCGGATGGGCTGTAAAGGGGCATAGTGGCATCATTTGATGGGACTTCTGAAAATTATAGAAAATGAAACTACAAGAGTCTATTTTTTAAAGGTTCGTAACTTCTAAAAAGTAAAAAAAAAAACCAATTTTAATCATGTTCGATTTTAAAATCTCAATGACAACAAAGAAGGGAGGCAGCGGGCGAGCCATAGAGTAGTACAATGGCAAAGCCGCTGATAGTTTGACGGGACTTCTAGAAAAGTAAAAATGAACCCAAACGATAATTATGTTTGATTTTTAAAATCTCAATAACAATAAAGAGAAGAGACAGTGGATGGGCCGTAGAGAAGTATAATGGCAATATTTGACGGGACATCTAGAAATTATAAAAACAAAACCCAACGTGACAATAAACTCTAAAATCTATGAAAAGACGAATGGATATAAATAGTGGTAGATTGAGCAAGCAAATAAAGAAGCAGATGACATAAGAAGTAGCAATTGGTGTGACTTTTAAAAACTATATAATTAGAAACACGAGGATGATAAGGTTTGATCTTTCAAAGTCTTAAGAGAATGAGATAGCTATTTAATAAACTTTAAGTGAAATCATACTTAAAAAAATATATGATTTTGTTTGGGTGCTAGCCGCGTAATTGCGCGGGCCACCCAGCTAGTTTTATCTTAAAATAAAGCTATTTCTCTATCTACCTCCTGCTCTCAACCATCACAACCATTCTTCTTCACCTAGGCCTTGTTTAGATTTTAACTTTTTTCTTCAAACTTTCAACATTTCCTTCACATCGAACTTTCCTACACAAACAAACTTTCAACATTTCCTTCACATCGAACTTTCCTACACAAATAAACTTTCAACTTTTTTGTCACATCGTTTCAATTTCTTCATACTTCCAATTTTGGCGTGAAACTAAACACATCCATACTTTCTCTTTTCAACCAATCACACACTGCACCCGATCATTCTCACATATCCTATCTTACTATAAAGTTATCCCCCACTAACTCCTTAAGCTTAACATGCAAAGGTGTCATATCATCATCCACTAACAAGATGCCACATCATCATCCACTAACAATCATCACATTTAAACATCATGCAAACATGCTATATCTTTATAGTTTTTATAATTTAAGAGCTTTTCAAATACAGACATGTTAAATTATCATCCAACATAATTCATATAATGTTTCAATGTATATCCTTATTATGTTTTATGATATCCTATATACTTATATAGTTCATACTCACTTAGTTAGTGCTTAAATGATTAATCTATGGTCCAAATTATCTTTCTCCTTTTTTCCTCTAATTAAGTCATATCACATCAATTGTTTTTAGCCTTTAGACGATTAATCTACGGTCCAAACTATCTCCCTACTTTTCTTCTTCCATAAAGTCATACCACCTTGCTTTTTACGTACGGCATAGATTATGAAGACACTTTTAGTCTAGTTGTCAAAGCTGCTACTATTAGAACTGTCTTGTCTATTGCTGTATTTAGAGGTTGGAGCCTACATCAATTAGATGTGCAAAATGCTTTCCTTCATGGAGTTCTAGAGGAAGAAGTATATATGAGGCAACCACCAGGTTATGGTGATGCTATATCTCCTGATTATGTGTGTAAACTTGAGAAGGCATTATATGATCTTAAATAAGCTCCTAGAGCATGGTACTCAAGGTTAAGTGGAAAATTGCATGAATTAGGTTTTAAGTCATCAAAGGCAGATACTTCCTTGTTTCTTTACAATAAAGGGAGTGTCATAATTTATTTGTTTATCTATGTTGATGATATAATTGTAGTCAGTTGTGTGCCTAGTGGAACTTTTGCCTTGTTACAGGATCTTACTAAGGACTTTGCACTCAAAGATTTGGGAGACTTGCATTATTTTCTAGGGATTGAAGTCAGCAAAGTGACAAATGGTACAATTATATCATCAACATAGATAAACAAATAAATTTTGACACTCCCTTTATTGTAAAGAAACAAGGAAGTATCTGCCTTTGATGACTTAAAACCTAATTCATGCAATTTTCCACTTAACCTTGAGTACCATGCTCTAGGAGCTTATTTAAGATCATATAATGCCTTCTCAAGTTTACACACATAATCAGGAGATATAGCATCACCATAACCTGGTGGTTGCCTCATATATACTTCTTCCTCTAGAACTCCATGAAGGAAAGCATTTTGCACATCTAATTGATGTAGGCTCCAACCTCTAGATACAGCAATAGACAAGACAGTTCTAATAGTAGCAGCTTTGACAACTAGACTAAAAGTGTCTTCATAATCTATGCCGTACCTTTGATTGAAGCCCTTTGCAACAAGTCTAGCCTTGTATCTATCCAAACTCCCATCTGCTTTCCTCTTGACTTTATACACCCATTTACAAATCAATAATATTTCTTCCCTGTCGTGGCGGGACTAAATGCCACATCTTATTTATTTTTCATGAGAGCTAGATATTCTGCATCCATAGCTTCTTTCCAATTTTTGTCGGTGAAAGCTTCATTTAAGGTCCGAGGTTCATCATAGGAAGTAAAACAACCCCATTTAACTATACCATCTGTATACTTCATCCGTCCCAAAATGTAGCATTTTTTAGGTTGGCACGGGTATTAAGAAAACTAGGTGAAGCCCCTCGCATTGCTGCGGGAATTTAGTACGATAACAATAAAAAAATAACGTGTAAGATAGCTAGATAACATCAGATTAAGTAAATTAATGTGGTTTATGATAATTTAAATTTAAATAGCATGTAGAATGGTGATTCAAACGTAAAAAGCAAGGTGGTATGACTTTATGGAAGAAGAAAAGTAGGGAGATAGTTTGGACCGTAGATTAATCGTCTAAAGGCTAAAAACAATTGATGTGATATGACTTAATTAGAGGAAAAAAGGAGAAAGATAATTTGGACCATAGATTAATCATTTAAGCACTAACTAAGTGAGTATGAACTATATAAGTATATAGGATATCATAAAACATAATAAGGATATACATTGAAACATTATATGAATTATGTTGGATGATAATTTAACATGTCTGTATTTGAAAAGCTCTTAAATTATAAAAACTATAAAGATATAGCATGTTTGCATGATGTTTAAATGTGATGATTGTTAGTGGATGATGATGTGGCATCTTGTTAGTGGATGATGATATGACACCTTTGCATGTTAAGCTTAAGGAGTTAGTGGGGGATAACTTTATAGTAAGATAGGATATGTGAGAATGATCGGGTGCAGTGTGTGATTGGTTGAAAAGAGAAAGTATGGATGTGTTTAGTTTCACGCCAAAATTGGAAGTATGAAGAAATTGAAACGATGTGACAAAAAAGTTGAAAGTTTGTTTGTGTAGGAAAGTTCGATGTGAAGGAAATGTTGAAAGTTTGTTTGTGTAGGAAAGTTCGATGTGAAGGAAATGTTGAAAGTTTGAAGAAAAAAGTTAAAATCTAAACAAGGCCTAGGTGAAGAAGAATGGTTGTGATGGTTGAGAGCAGGAGGTAGATAGAAAAATAGCTTTATTTTAAGATAAAACTAGCTGGGTGGCCCGCACAATTACGCGGCTAGCACCCAAACAAAATCATATATTTTTTAAGTATGATTTCACTTAAAGTTTATTAAATAGCTATCTCATTGTCTTAAGACTTTGAAAGATCAAACCTTATCATCATCATGTTTCTAATTATATAGTTTTTAAAAGTCACACCATTTGCTACTTCTTATGTCATCTGCTTCTTTATTTGCTTGCTCAATCTACCACTATTTATATCCATTCGTCTTTTCATAGATTTTAGAGTTTATTGTCACGTTGGGTTTTGTTTTTATAATTTCTAGATGTCCCGTCAAATATTGCCATTATACTTCTCTACGGCCCATCCACTGTCTCTTCTCTTTATTGTTATTGAGATTTTAAAAATCAAACATAATTATCGTTTGGGTACATAATTAAGGGAGGGTAGTAGCCTCCGCCGGTGCCCGGTGTGGATGGCGAGGTGCCGATGGACGGCTTGGGCGGGTAGTACCCTCCACCCGGTGTTGTCGGGGAAGTGTCACTGGATGGCGAGGGCGGCGCGTCGCATGGCGTGGGTGAGGATGAGCAGCCACCACCCGGTGTGCTCGGGGAGGTGCCGCTGGATGGCGATGGCGGGACGTTGCCAATGGTGGGCGCGGGCGGGTAGTTGCCGCCACCAGGTGTCGTCGGGGAGGTGTCACTTGAAGGGGAGGGCGGCGCATTGCACGGCGTGGAAGGAGAATAGCCTCCACCCGGCGTGGTTGGGGAGGTTCCACTTGAAGGCAACGGCGGCGCACTGCATGGCGTGGACGGAGAGTAGCCTCCACTACCTGGCGTGGATGGGGAGGTGCCACTGGCCGGCGAGGGAGGCACGTCGCCGACGGATGGCGTGGGCGGGTAGTAGCCTCCACCTGGCGTGGTCGGGGACGTGCCACTGGACGGCAAGGGCGGCGTGTCGCATGGCGTGGACGGGAGCCTCCGCCCGGTGTGGTCGGAGAGGTGTCGCTGGACGGCGAGGGTGGCACGTCGCCAATGGACGGCGTGGGCGGGTAGTAGCTTCCACCCGGTGTGGTCGGAGAGGTGCCACTCGACGGCGCGGGCGGCATGCCGCACGGCGTGGGAGTGGAGCATCCACCCGGTGTAGTGGGAGAGCTGCCACTGGACGGCGAGGGCGGCGTGTCGCTCGGTGTCGGCGTGTAGCCTCCACCTCCACCCGGCGTTGTCGGGGAGCTGCCACTGGACGGCGAGGGCGGCGTGTCGCTCGGCGTCGGAGATATATACATACATGCTGCGTTTGCACCATCACTTCATGATTGAAACGAGTTTATGCGCTCCGATCCATTTGCTTCCTCCAAATGAGGACCTAAATAAATCCCATCTATCTATTATTTATATATTATTAAGGGATGTACGTAGAAAATGAACCATCATTATTTTCTAGAAGTCCCATCAAACTATCAGCGGCTTTGCCATTACACTACTCTACGGCTCGCCCGCTGCCTCCCTTCTTTGTTGTCATTGAGATTTTAAAATCGAACATGATTAAAATTGGTTTTTTTTTTACTTTTTAGAAGTTACGAACCTTTAAAAAATAGACTCTTTTAGTTTCATTTTCTATAATTTTCAGAAGTCCTATCAAATGATGCCACTATGCCCCTCTACAGCCCGTCCGCCGCCTACTCTTTATTGTCATTGTGATTCTAAAAATTGAACATAATGTAAAATCAAAGGTGTTTTTGATTATTATTCTATGATGAACAATTGGGCATTGGAGATTATTGGTTTTGTTATTTGGAATTTATTCACGAAGTGGTTTTGGAGATGATTGGATTTCACATGTGAATATACAGGTACTGCTGTGATTTTATGTGGACCGGTCAGACCGGGCTTGTGCTGCCGGTCAGACCGGGGTGTAATGCGCGGTCAGACCGGCGCAGCCCGCGGTCTAACCGGCGGACACTGTGTCGGTTTCGGTTTCGGGTTGTTTATTTGGATATCCGAGTTTATTCCATGATTATGACTTCTAGATGGATACTATACGTATGTAATACTATTGTTTGTTGCTAATGAGTCTAGTTGGAGATAGCTTGGTCTCGGAATATGGTTTCTTTGTTTGTTCCATGTGTAGGTGACTCGATGTCTCGGGAGAGTATTTGCGGTGATGGACCGGGAGTCGGCTTGGGGATAAGACGACGTCCGTGGTGGTTAGAGATCATGCGGGATACTTAGGCTAGAGTTGATGCACGTGGTTGATGGAGATTCCATATGGCATACGATGGAGTTATTGTGTGCGTATGGGATGCGGAGTCGAATTTGGAAGGAGTCCAAATTTGGTACGACTGGTTATGTAAAGTTTCTTTCTTGTACTAGAGGGTTTCCTAAGGTGTTTAGGACTCCTAGTATAAGTTTGGTTCGTGGCTTTAGGCTGCCTACCTCATGTATAAATAGAGGGGGAGCGTGAGGCTTCCCGGTATCGCTTTAGAGAGCAATTGAGTTGAAGTTTTGAGTTAGGGTTTCGAGTTTAGTCGAAATTTTTGTAAGGAGTGCTGTTGGTGCACTTTGTAAACACAGAGAGAATAAATAAAGTCGTCATCCACTTTAAGAGTTCTTCGATTTGTGTTTCACCGGGTTTCGGCGGTCTAACCGGCGGCGCACCGACGGTCAGACCGGCGGGTACACGGCGGTCAGACCGGCGGTGACAGGAGTCGGCGGCAGGCTTTCTCGGCGGTTCGACCGATCGATCTACATCGGTCAGACCGATGTTCATTAGGCGATCAGACCGGCGCAACTACTTTGGTTAGACCGCGATCCATCGATTTCGAGGGTAACTTTTATTTCCGCTAAAAGTTTTCGGTTTTTGGGTATACCAACCATTCACCCCCCATCTGGTTGGCTTAGTTCTTGTGATTTGATCCTACACATAACTATCGTTAGAATTCATTTTTTATTTTCTAGAAGTCTCGTCAACCGTCGGTGCCTCTGCAACTATACTCTTATACACCTTGCACGCTGCTTCTCCTTTTTATTGTCATTGAGATTTTAAAAATCGAAATGATTATCAATGGAGTTTATTTCTTTTACTTTTAGAAGTCCTGGCAACCGCCTTACTTGGTGTCAATTAGTATTCTATTTGGTGTTTTATTAACAATTTTTATATGTCGTATCAACCGCCACCACTCTACTCCTTTATAGGCCTGGTACTTAATTTATCTCGTCATGTGTTTTAGATGGTCTTTTCTTTCTATAGTTTTTATTTTTATCACAAATTTTAGTTATTTATAAATTGTATTCCTAATTGAAATTTTATTTTTCTTTTTCTAATTTCAGAATTTATTTTTTTAAAAAAAATTATTTAATACCGTATTGTGTTCTTTTAATATTTTTATTTTTTATTTTCAATTTCAGTTGTTTCAAAATTGTATTCCTACTTGAACTATCTTTTAATTTTTCTAATTTTGGATATTATTTTATTTTTTATTCTAAATTTTAATTAATCTCGTATTGGGTTCTTATATGGATTCTTCTTTCAATATTGCTTATTTTTAATTCCGAATTTCATCTAATTTTAAATTATAATCCTGCTTTAACTCTTATTTTATTTTCTTTTTGTAATTTCAGATTTATTTTTATTTATATTTCAAATTTTAATTAATCTCGTATTGGGTTCTTATATGGACTCTTATTTTAATATTCATTATTTTTAATTCCGAATTTAAGTATTTTTAAATTGTATTTCTACCTAGAATCTCCTTTCCTTTTCTAATTTTTGATTTTATTTTATTTTTATTTCGAATTTTGATTAATCTCGTATTGGGTTCTTATATGGAAACTTCTCTCAATATTCCTTATTTTTAATTCCGAATTTCAGCTATTTTTAAATTGTATTTCTACATGGACTCTCCTTTTCTTTTTTTTCTTTTTCTCCGATTAATGTGAGAATTTCTAGCCCCTACAGTGAACATGGTGCCTCTTTTCAAAGCTGTTTTAATAATATAACTAGCATGGTGGCCCACGCAGATTGCGCAGCTAGCATCATTATATTTTCTCTCATATAATACATCTATGTTTTCTCATTATATTATTCCAATATATTAAAATGATAACATAATTTTAAATTTTGCAACAACTTTACAAAACTACTAATGTATAATATTCATATTGTATTTTATATACGTGTTAATTATTAATTATTTTTAATATCAAATTTTAGTTATTTGTAAATTATATATATTCCTATATGGACTCTAGACTCGTCTTTTAATATTTCTTTTTTTTTAATTCCGAATTTCCTGTAAATTGTATTTCTATATAGACTCTATGTTCTTCTTCCAATATATTTATTTTTATTTCTGAATTTTTATTATTTCTAATTGTATTTCTATTTGGACTCTAAACTCATCTTTCAATATTCTTTAATTTTTAATTTCGAATTTCAGTTACTTCTTGATTGTATTCCTATATCGACTTTAAACTCTTTTCCCCATATTTTTCTTAATTTCGAATTTTAGTTATTTGTAAATTGTATTTTTATATGGACTCTAAACTCTACTTTTAATTTTATTATGTTTATTCCAAATTTTAATTAGTTTTAAATTCCTATATGAACTCTATACTCTACTTCTAATATTCCTTATTTTTTAATTCCGAATTTCTATTTTTTTTAATTGTGTTTCTATATGAACTCTATACTCTACTTCTAATATTCCTTATTTTTAATTCCGAATTTCAGTTATTTCCTAATTGTATTTCGAATTTTAGTTATTTCCTAATTGTATTTCTATATGGACTCTATACTCTACTTCTAATATTCCTTATTTTTAATTCCAAATTTCAGTTATTTCCTAATTGAATTTCTATATGGAATCTATACTCTACTTCTAATATTCCTTATTTTTATTTCCGAATTTTAGTTATTTCCTAATTGTATTTCTGTATGAACTCTAGTCTACTCTTCTAATATTTCTTATTTTTTAATTCCGAATTTTAGTTATTTCTAAATTGTATTTCTATATGGACTCTAGTCTCCTCTTCTACTATTCTTTATTTTTTAATTCTTAATTCCGAATTTCATATATTTCTAAATTATATTTCTATATGGACTTTGTTTTTTTTCTTTTTCTTCGATTAATGTGAGAATTTCTAGACCATGAGAGCGAACGTGGAGGCTCCTTTTTCTATTCTTTTAATAATATAATAGATAGATAGATATTGTGCAAGAAATAGCTATATTTCGTAACGGATGGAATACGCTTAACGCGTATACCGCTTTGAAGCCGTGTATGTGGTCGCGCAGGAGCAGTTTGCATAAATGCGTGATAATTAAGACCCATCTACCTCCCCGGTCGCAGCTGCATCTGTCACCGCTGTTTCCGATTGATTGACGCCGGTAGAGACAGATGGAGTAGGAGTACTCACGTGTGTGACTGACAATGCGCAGAAGTGACAGGGGCAAAAATTTTTTACGTCCATCCAAACAACCCCAGCGTGCCACATGGTACGCCCCGCCCAATGACTGACCTGGATGCCAATGACTGACATACAGTACTCCGTAGTCGATACTCGATTGTCGTATTCGTAGTCGGAGTGCCGACAAAGCGAGTGGGTCCACTGGTGGGCACATGCATGCGGTGTGAATGTAGGCAGCATGTGCTTATGGCTCAAGTCAAGGTCGTCGGTAACGTTCATCTATCATATCAGTTCCCTCTTTAAATGACTGCCAATTCAATGACAAGTATAAGGAGTTCCAAAAAAAAATTTTACCCAAAAATATCATATTGAATCTTTGGATATATGTATGAAGCATTAAATATAGATTAAAAAAACTAATTACACAGTATGTATGGAACTCACGGACAAATCTTATAAGCCTAATTAGTCCATGATTAGCTATAAGTGCCATAATAACTCTTACGTGCTAATGATAGATTAATCAGGCTTAATAAATTCGTTTCGTGGTTTTCAGACGAGTTATAAAATTAATTTTTTCATTCGTGTCAAAAACTCCTTCCGACATCCGGTCAAACGTCCAATATAACGCATAAAAATTTTCTTTTCGCCAGCTAAACACACCCTGAAATGTCCAATGCGCGACGCCAACAACCCATGGCCGGACGGCTCTCGTTATCCGTGCGCTCAGGACACTCACGATGCACTACTAGATTTAGTATAATTTATAACTTTTTAGATCTAGGAATAAAAAACCCATTAGATAAAATCACAAACCTTATAAAATTTGATCTGTATATGTAGACACAAAGTACATGCACTTGGTTCGAGTCAAGGTCGTC